TATTTTGTAAATAGTCTCTTGTATAGGTTATTTTGCCTTTGTATTTGTGAGGCACTTTACTTGCTTTTTCCTAGTGTTTGTATATTGTTTTTAAGGTAGGTTACTTGGAGAGTTTAACTCCATTTAACCTCCCTAGTTGATACATTCATTTTGTATTTTTTCAGTAGGGAAAAGGGGGTGACATTTAGCAATGGTTGAGGTGTGACTAGAAATTGGGCCTGAGTTGGGCCTAGGCTAAATTTTGCATATTGGACTCATTTTGCTCCTAATTTTTCATAGATTTGATTTAGCTAGGTCTCATCATCATATGATGAACCTAACTAAACCAAATCAAGGTTTTTCAAATTAATTCAAGGAGCAAAATATGTTCAAGGCCGCCTAGCTCTCTTAAGTCTCCTTGGCCGAAATTTCTAGTTGTTCTTCTTGAGTTATGAAGCTTGCCTTGCAAGCTTCTAAACTCAAGTAAGGTAAGCTTACCTTACCATGGTTCTTAAGTGAACCATGGTCAAGGTTAGCTTCCCTTGCAAGCTTGCTAAACCGTAGGGAGTTAAGTAAACCTTACCATGGTTCCTAGTGAACCATGGTTAAGGTTAGCTTCTCCTAGAAGCTACCTTTTCTCTATATAATTGATTTTCCTACTCTTGTACTCACTTTTGAACTTTTTAGAGAATGAAAATCAGATTTTTCTCTCTTAATCAAGAGTCTCCAAAACCGTGAGAAATTTTCTCTCAAGGTTTCTAGTAAAGTTCTTCAAACTTTGCTTGGTTCCTCAAGCTCCTTCACAAGTTTAAGGAGTGGCCGAATCTCCTTCAAAGACTTCTCTTCCTTTAGAGTTTCTTCAAAGGAGAATTCAGAGATCTAAAGGTGTCTACCTCAAGTGCATTTCGGTCCTAAGCATGGAGGAGTTGAAGTTCATCAATCTTCTTCAACTTAGCTCCATCACTTTCTCTTAGTGGTTCATATAGCTATCCTTTAAATTTTGCTCTCAAATTTGGTGTGCTGTCTTTTCATGATTTTAGGGTGTTGCTCGCAAATTTTACGCCAATTCTGAGTTACAAATTTTTTCATCACTTTCGTTTGTGAAAACTTTGAAATGCCATAACTTTTGATCCAGCCGTCAAAATTGGCATTATTATATATGTTTTTGGGGTAGAAAAATGAGATGTATCACTTGCCAATCGATAGAGTCCATTGGCCAGGCTCGGATTTTCAAAAAGAGGCCATTTTCTATTTCTTTATTGCCTTATTTTTCTAAACTTTCTCTTAGTGGTTCATATAGTTATGATTTGAATTTTGCTCTCGAATTTGATGTGCTGTCTTTTCATGATTTTAGGGTATTGCTCACAAAATTTAAGCCAATTCTGAGTTACAAATTTTTTCATCACTTTGGTCTGTGAAAACTTTGAACTGCCATAACTTTTGATCCAGCCGTCAGAATTGGCATTATTATATACGCTTTTGCGGTAGAAAAATGAGATCTATCACATGGCAATCGACAGAGTCCATTGGCCACGCTTGTAACAGCCCAGTTTTCATTAGGCCAAGAGCCCAATTAAAGTGGTTTAGTAGCCCGGAACGGGCCATTTGAAAATTGGAACGGGTCGTTCCAAATTACTAAATAGAGCTACTTTTGGTAGCCCGGAACGGGCCGTTTCGTAATTAGAACAGGCCGTTCCAAACCGCTGAATTTGCCTATAATTCCTAATTGAGAACGGGCTGTTCCAAAATATGACCGTTGTGAGTATTAAATGCACCCCAGAACGGGCCGTTCTGGTTTGAGAACGGGCCGTTCTGGATGTGGTTTTTATCCATGATTTAACGGTCCAGAACGGGCCATTTTGGATTTGGAACGGGCCATTCTAGTGGCTTGGAACGACCAGTTCCAATTTTGGAACATCCCGTTCCAGGCTACTAAAACCAATTTATTTGGGTTTTAGGCTTTCTGATGTCCTATCCTATTTTTTGCATGCTTCGGGAGCTCCTTCCCTTCATAACAGAGGTCCATTTCCTTGTTTGTATGCCCCCGGACGAAATTGGGTGTCTACATCGCAATCTCTCTAGGCCACTCTGGTTATTACAACTATGGTTGAATGCCATTTTCGAGAAGAAACTTCAACTTACTTCTCCTTTTCTTACTCCCCTATGCCAACTCGAAGGTGTTCAACTGAATACTCTAACTCCTCAAAAGCGTTCAATCGACAAATTTGCTAAATATGTTCAAGTGATTATGAGTTTCGATGAATTCACTAAAGATCTTGCTCCTTTTATTCGCTCAGATTTATTAGGCCTTTCTTGGCTTCACGAGAATAATCAAGTTGGAAATATGTTTGAAGGATCTCTTGATATGTGGTTTGGGTTCTTGTCTTGGGATGTTATCTTATCTGGCATGCGACAAAAAGACATTAGAATCTATCCTTACCAACCATAAATCTTTGTTCGACAATTTGGTCTTTGCCAAATGAAACCTTTTCCGCTCCGTCGAAAAGAAAAAATCGATGCTGATATTTGTATCGATAGAGGAGATATTAAGGAGGTTCTAAGTTTCATACCACGTCCTGAAAAATAACTTTTCCTTAACCCTTTCACTTTCTCTTCCTCCTTCCTTGTATCAAAGTGCTTCCTTCGTTGGTGGTGTTAATATTATGTTGACAAAATGTTCACCTTTGATGATTTCCTGAAAAAGCTGATTAATTCTCATCAACTTACTTCTCCTTTTCTTACTCCCCTATGCCAACTCGAAGGTGTTCAACTGAATACTCTAACTCCTCAAAAGCGTTCAATCGACAAATTTGCTAAATATGTTCAAGTGATTATGAGTTTCGATGAATTCACTAAAGATCTTGCTCCTTTTATTCGCTCAGATTTATTAGGCCTTTCTTGGCTTCACGAGAATAATCAAGTTGGAAATATGTTTGAAGGATCTCTTGATATGTGGTTTGGGTTCTTGTCTTGGGATGTTATCTTATCTGGCATGCGACAAAAAGACATTAGAATCTATCCTTACCAACCATAAATCTTTGTTCGACAATTTGGTCTTTGCCAAATGAAACCTTTTCCGCTCCGTCGAAAAGAAAAAATCGATGCTGATATTTGTATCGATAGAGGAGATATTAAGGAGGTTCTAAGTTTCATACCACGTCCTGAAAAATAACTTTTCCTTAACCCTTTCACTTTCTCTTCCTCCTTCCTTGTATCAAAGTGCTTCCTTCGTTGGTGGTGTTAATATTATGTTGACAAAATGTTCACCTTTGATGATTTCCTGAAAAAGCTGATTAATTCTCATCTTTCTTCGCAGGGCCCAAAACTACTAGATACTTACAAGAATTGTAATATTATTTATCAATTCGAGCAATTTTTTAAATTTTATTATCGACCCAAAAACCTTGGTCGAACCATTTTTTATGCCTCCGTCTCTGTAACAAAAATGTTACAAAGGAACATCCGCTCTGACTTGGCAGCCACTAGATGAGGGGTCTGAGGTGACTTCGTGAACAGTAGCCTCTCTTTGTTTTTGGTTTTACATTTTCTCTCTTGTAGCTACAGTTCACGTTTTTGGCTTCCCTATTCTGCTTCCTTTACGTTTTGGCTGCTCTCCATTTTTCTTCACGTTTTCTTTAGTTTTTCTGGTTGTAATGTGAGACTCCATTTTCATTTTGAATACAAATTGTTCATCTCATTTCGTTTTCCTTCTCTGCCTTGCATTTTCGTTTCCCTTCTCTGCCTAGCATTTCTGTTTCGTTTCTGTATTTTAATGGAAGGCTAAAAACCCCTGGGTTGGCTTCTTGTTGTGGATTGTAATCTCTGTTTAAGGTTGGGTCTGTGTGTTTACCTTTGTTCTGCTTTGTTCTTCTTCATTTAACCTCTGTATCAATGTGTCCATGCTTAATGGGCTGTGCCACAGTTGCTTAATCTATGAAGAGGTTGATGTTGTATACGTTTACTTAATTCGTGTAGGAAAATCTTGAGTTAATCTTCGCTTAGTTGGTTAACTCGGATGGAACAAGGATTAAGTGGTTAATAGAGTAATCTTTTGAGAACCAGGGATAAAAGAGTTTTGCAATCTGAACAGGGAACCAATCCGTTTTACTTGCTGTTTTATCTACGTTTTATTGTGTTATAACTGAATCTGAACAAACAAACCCCCCCCCACTTCGTGTGTTTAAGCCTTTAACAGTAAAAGACGGTCCTTGGGAGACGACCTAGGAGTCACTTCCTAGTACTACACTTAATTGTATTTATTTGACCGGATACGGCTTTGATCAGCACGACCTCGAGCAAGAGATGCTACAGGCGTGACCTTGGCATATGGTTAATTGTAAGATTTGTGTGGATTTTGATGGATTGGTGTAATTGTGAATTGAGATGTGATGATGAATGATTGATAAATTATGATATATATAAATGCTTGTAAATAACATTTCAAGTTATGATGTGATGATGTTGTGGATTTCCTTGTGTGCTTTATATATAAATGTTTTCTTTTCTCACCGTACAATTTGTGATGTTTTAGGTGAGGAAGATCCGGCTTTGAGTGACATCTAGAATGTCAACCGTTGAGTTGTGGGTGTGCTATGATATTGTGACATCGGGGCAGAGAATTCTAGGATGAATTTTTATATGTATTTAGAGTTATACCTTCTCTTTTGAAAGCAATTTGTAAACTCTCAAGTTTTACTTTCTAAATTTTATTTTTAATTATTTTGGTTATTTATGAAGGTTTTATGTGAACCCTTTTACCAACTTTGAATAATTTATTCTTTAGTTTATTTACAAAATTTATTTAAATATGTGTTGGGGTAGTAAGGGTGTCACATTTAGTGGTATCAGAGCAGGTCGATCCAATCGGTCGTGAGTTATGAGTCTACTATGCTTGTTTGGTAGATAATTGATGGAATGAATTGATTGTGGAATTTGTTGATATGTTAGTGCAATGATAGATTAAGTTTGTTGTTTATTTAATTAGAGTATAATTGATAACTTTTCTGGGGATCAGAAAAGAAATGGCAGGAGGTAGGAACGATCGTGCAATCGCTGATGCTCTACAAGCGATGGCTCTGGCTCTTGGTAATATGAACCAACGACTAGAGGTAGATTGGCTAGAAAGATTCCAATGAAATAATCTATCAAGCTTCCGTGGAGGTTATAATCCTGATGGAGCTGCTGACTAGATTTTTGAAGTTGAAAAGATATTCCAAGCTCTGGGAAGTCCTTTGTTACGGAAGGTGACTTTGGTTGCCTTCATGCTTTCTAGAGAGGCTGGCATCTGGTGGCAAGGTGCTTTGCAAAGAATGATAGTTGTAGGTACCCAAGTGAACTGGGAGAATTTCAAACAATTATTCTTGGAGAAATACTTTCCGCGAGATGTGAGACTTAAGAAACAGGTGGAATTCCTTGAGTTCAAGCAAGGAGATAATTCTGTGGCTGAGTATGTGACTAAGTTTGAAGACTTGGTCAGATTCTGTCCTATGTATGATGGTGTGGGCAATGCGGAGGACAAATGTGTGAAGTTTGTGAGTGGTCTTCGCCCTGAGATTAAACAAGTTTTCAATTACCAATGGATCACTCAATATCATGATCTGGTGAACAAGTGTCGACTCTATGATGAGGACAACCGTGCTAGAGTAACTCATTATAAGAGTGGAGGACCCATGAGGAATCATAATAAGTTTGGGTCATCTAGTAAGGGTAAGCCTTACACCAAGTATGTTGGAGATTCGAGTTCTAAAGTGAATAACCAAGATTCTTTGCAATAAAGGAGTCAAGCTCCAATGACTAGCCAAACTTCTAAAGGGGGAAGTGTGGGTTTTGTTCCACACAACAACTGCTTCAAATGTGGAGAGCCAGGTCATAAGGCATATGAGTGTCAGGCAACAAAAGTAATAACATGTTTTATTATATATTTTTTTGGGGTAGAATAATGAGATGTATCACTTGCCAATCGACAGAGTCCTTTGGCCACGCTCGGATTTTCAAAAAGAAGTCGCTTTCTATATCTTTATTGCCTTATTTTTCTAAACTTTCTCTTAGTGGTTCATATAGCTATCATTTGAATTTTGATCTCAAATTTGGTGTGCTGTCTTTTCATGATTTTAGGGTGTTGCTCACAAAATTTAAGCCAATTCTGAGTTACAAATTTTTTCATCACTTTGGTCTGTGAAAACTTTGAACTGCCATAACTTTTGATCCAGCCGTCAGAATTGGCATTATTATATATGCTTTTGCGGTAGAAAAATGAGGTCTATCACATGCCAATCGACAGAGTCTATTGGCTACGCTCGGATTTTCAAAAAAGAGGCCGTTTTCTGTTTCTTTATTGCCATATTTTTCTAAACTTTCTCCTAGTGGTTCATATAGCTATCCTTTGAATTTTGCTCTCAAATTTGGTGTGCTGTCTTTTCACGATTTTAGGGTGTTGCTCACAAAATTTAAGCCAACTCTGAGTTACAAATTTTTTCGTCACTTTCGTTTGTAAAAACTTTGAACTGCCATAACTTTTGATCCAGCCGTCAGAATTAGCATTATTATATATGTTTTTGGGTTAGAAAAATGAGATGTATCACCTGCCAATAGATAAAGTCCATTGGCCACGCTCGAATTTTCAAAAAGAGGCCATTTTCTATTTCTTTATTGCCTTATTTTTCTAAACTTTCTCTTAGTAGTTCATATAGCTATCCTTTGAATTTTGCTCTCAAATTTGGTGTGTTGTCTTTTCATGATTTTAGGGTGTTGCTCCCAAAATTTAAGCCAATTCTGAGTTACAAATTTTTTAATCACTTTGGTCTGTGAAAACTTTGAACTGCCATAACTTTTGATCCAGCCATCAGAATTGGCATTATTATATATGCTTTTGGGGTAGAAAAATGAGATGTATCCCCTGCCAATCGACAGAGTCCAAAGGCCACGCTCGGATTTTCAAAAAGAGGTCGTTTTCTATTTCTCTATCGCCTTATTTTTCTGTTCATATAGCTATCATTTGAATTTTGCTCTCAAATTTGGTGCGCTGTCTTTTCATGATTTTAGGGTGCTGCTCACAAAATTTAAGCCAATTCTGAGTTACAAATTTTTTCATCACTTTCATCTGTGAAAACTTTGAACTGCCATAACTTTTGATCCAGCCGTCAGAATTGGCACTTTTATATAAGCTTTTGGGGTAGAAAATGGAGATCTATCACATGCCAATCGACAGAGTCCATTGGCCACGCTCAGATTTTCAAAAAGAGGTGGTTTTCTATTTCTTTATTGCCTTATTTTTCTAAACATTTTCTTAGTGGTTCATACAGCTATCCTTTGAATTTTGCTCTCAAATTTGGTGTGCTGTCTTTTAAGGATTTTAGGGTGTTGCTCACAAAATTTAAGCCAATTCTAAGTTACAAATTTTTTCATCACCTTCGTCTGTGAAAACTTTGAACTGCCATAACTTTTGATCCAGTCGTTAGAATTGGCATTATTATATGTTTTTGGGGTAGAAAAATGAGATGTATCACCTTCCAATCGACAGAGTCCATTGGCCACGCTCGGATTTTCAAAAAGAGGTCGTTTTCTATTTCTTTATTACCTTATATTTGTAAACTTTCTCTTAGTGGTTCATATATCTATCCTTTGAATTTTGCTCTCAAATTTTTTGTGCTGTCTTTTCATGATTTTAGGGTGTTGCTCACAAAACTTAAGCCAATTCTGAGTTACAAATTTTTTCATCACTTTGGTCTGTGAAAACTTTGATCTGCCATTACTTTTGATCCAGCCGTCAGACTTGGCATTATTATATATGCTATTGGAAGAAAATCTATCCTTCCTAAGGTGGAGCCAAACCAATCACCTTCATTGAAGACAACTTCCTTTCTACCCTTGTTATTGTATTTTGTATATTTTTCTGTTTGGGATTGTATATGATTTCTATGATTTCTAACCCTTTCATGGAAGTTCTTAACAAATTCAGCCCTAGAAGTTCCTTCTTTATGAATAAAAGAAGCAACATCAGGTAGGGGTAATAAGTCTAAAGGGGTTAGAGGATTGAAACCTTAAACAATCTCAAAAGGAGACATCTTGGTGGTTTTATGAACCACCCTGTTGTAGGCAAACTCCACATGAGGTAGATAGTCATCCCATGACTTTTTATTGCCCTTGAGAATTGCCCTCAACATAGCTCCAAGAGACCTATTGACTACCTCAGTTTGCCCATCAGTTTGGGGGTGACATGTGGTACAAAATAGAAGTTTAGTTCCTAGCCTTGCTCACAAAGTTTTCCAAAAGTGGCTAAGGAACTTAACATCTCTATCTGAAACTATAGTCTTAGGTAACCTATGAAGTCTCGCTACTTCTTGAAAGAATAATTTAGCAATATTGCTTGCATCATCCACTTTGTGGCATGGGATAAAGTGTGCCATTTTACTAAAACGGTCCACTATCACAAAGATGGAACCCTTTCCTTTTTGGGTTCTAGGAAAACCAAGGATAAAATCCATGGAAATGTCCACCCAAGGAGCATTGGATATTGGCAAGGGGGTGTATAGTCCATGAGGTTTTGTGGTAGATTTAGCTTGAAGACAAGCTATGCATCTAGTACAAAACCTTTGAACATCTCTTTTCATATGAGGCCAAAAGAATTTCTCTTTCAAAAGTAAAAAAGTCTTCTCAATTCCAAAATGCCCCATGAGCCCACTCTCATGGCTCTCCTTTACCAAGAGTTTCCTAATAGATCCTTGGGGAATACAAAGTTTGTTTTCTTTAAAGAGAAACCCCTCGGAAGTATAGTAACCTTGATAAGGTTTTTGAATACATAGGAGATAAAAGTTAGCAAAATCAGGATCTTTCTCATACAATTCCTTTATGTCATCAAACCCTAGTATTTGAGATCCTAGGATGTTTAACAACACATGTCTTCTTGATAAAGCATCAGCTACTACATTTGTAGAGCCTTTCTTGTATTTGATGACATAAGAAATTGTTCTAGATACTCAACCCATTATGCATGCCTCTTATTTAACTTACCTTGGCCCTTCAAATATTTAAGTGATTCATGATCACTATGAATGACAAATTCCTTGGTTACAAGGTAATGTTCCCAAGTTTGAAGAGCTCGAACCAAAGCATACAACTCCTTGTCATAAATTGGGTAGTTCAAGGAAGCCCCATGAATTTTTTCACTGAAATAAGCTATGGGGTGGCCACCTTGTAACAACACAGCTCCTATGCCAAAACCTGAAGCATCACATTCTAGCTCAAAAGTTTTGCTAAAATAATGGAGAGCTAGAACAGGTGCTTGAGTGAGTTTTTGCTTAAGCTCTTGAAAGGCTAAATTATGTTTTTCTTGCCAAAGAAAGTGATGGAATAACACTAAGGCCAAGAAATCCAAGAGGTGATGTATTGAAGGAGGCAAAAGGAATGGGTTAGTGTTGAAAAAAAACCATAGGAGGAGTGAGCCCACTTTTGGGCCTTAGCTCCTAAGATTTTCTTAGCATAGCATTTATTCCTATTTTGTCCTTGTATTTGATTTCCTATTTTACCCTTGTATTTTGGGGTATTTTAGTCTTAAAATTTATTTTACTTGTATTTCCAATTTTACCCTTGTATTTTGGGGTATCTTAGTCATAGGATTTATTTTCTTTTGTATTTCCCATTTTACCCTTGTATTATGGGGTGCTTTAGATCATAGGATTTTATTTTTGGGCTAAGGTATTTGATTAGGGTGGGAACAAAAACCTAGACATATTTTTGTGGCTATTAGACCTATTTTTGGTGTTAGAAAGGCTTAGGCCCAAGTGGAGGGCAAAGGTTGCATGGTCTTATCATGCACCTAGGTGTACACTAACTAAACCCAAAGATTTCATCCTAGGCCACCAAGTTGCATCTAGGGTTAATTTGGGTTTCATTTGGTGTGCATTTGGCACCCTAAATGCAACCCTAGATGCCTCCCACTCCTATTAATACCCTAGGCACCACACCTAGTAAATACTTTGGATATTGAATATAAAGAGAGATTTTATGAAATTTGAGAGCCTTGTGCCGAGTTTCCTTTCAAAGTCACCAAGCTTCTTACCTCAAAAACCCTAGGAGAGTTCATCACTTTCCTTCTCTTTGAAGTGAGTAGTCCATTGATCCTTAAGCTTGGATGCTTCCATCCAAGGCTTAGGCCTAGTACATCTGAGAGTCCTTCATCCTTCAAGTGTTCTTCATCTTCGATTTCCATTTCCTTGAAGAAGATCCGAGCTAGGAGAAGCTAAGGAGAAGATTCACATCCACTCTTCCTTATCATCTCCATCAATCACTTGCCAATCGAAAGAATCCAATGGCCACGCTCGGATTTTCAAAAAGAGGTCGTTTTCTATTTCTTTATTGCCTTATTTTTCTAAACTTTCTCTTAGTGGTTCATATAGCTATCCTTTGAATTTTGCTCTCAAATTTGGTGTGCTATCTTTTCATGATTTTAGGGTGTTGCTCACAAAATTTAAGCCAATTTTGAGTTACAAATTTTTTCATCACTTTCGTCTTTGAAAACTTTGAATTGCCATAACTTTTGATCCATCCGTAAGAATTGGCATTATTATATATGCTTTTGGGGTAGAAAAATGAGATGTATCACCTTCCAATTGACAGAGTCCAAAGGCCTTTTGGGCTTCTTGGGCTTTGGGCTTTTGATACCCAATATTGGGCTCATTTTCTTCCTTGTAATATTTCCTATTTCATTGTATTACTTTGACCATTGTATTTAGGTCATTAGTATAAGATTAAGGAGGAAAACTTGTTAAATAGAATT